TATATAAAAAGGAACATCACTTGTTTTTGAAAATTTGTCCAATCATGAGTCATTCAACAAGTGTCAACAAGTATAATAAGCAAAATTTTACGAGCTGTGATCAAAATTTGACCTCGGACTTACATATATTGGTCTACCTTTGATAAACACTTTAAACAGAGTGTGTATATGTGTGTGGGTGAACAGTTGTAAAACATTTCTTAACGTCTCCATAATTTTTGTTTATTATACTTTTTGATACTTGTTGAATGACTCATGATTGGACAAATTGTTTTAAAAACAAGTGATGTTCCTTTTATATATAAACCTTTATTATGTTAATTTAAGTGAGTCGGTGGCACAGTGGTTAGGACGCTCGCCGAACATGCACATGGTCCGGGGTTCAATTCTCGACCGACTCACTCCTTTACCTCACCTAACCAGTAATAGAAAGCCGGTAAAGAGGAAAGGTTGGGCATGAGGCTAGCAACCTCATCCTGTAAAAGTAAAACACTGCTACAGAAACTTCAAGCCACTAGCTTGGAGCCCTATGTTCCACTGGGGAACGTGAAGAAAAAAAAAAGTTAATTTCGATTAATTTCTCTGAAGAAGTTCGGACCAGATTGCCGAACGAAACGTTGGAATTACTCATTTCAATCTCGCTGAGACTTTAAAAATATAATTTTTTTACAAATGTCTACTTCTTACTCGGCACCCAAATATTTTAGAACTATTCTGTCAAATCTTGACGACAAATCATTTGAATTCTAGTGGTTGTCTTCATGGCAAGCTTTCAGAGGGGTCCATTGAAAGAAACGATTTCGAGTCTGTATACGTATAAGCTATGTATTGACGATGCCTTTATTATTTGTGATGGCAGTTGTCCAACTTCTGGTTCTCACCTATCTATGCTTTTCACTATCGCAGAAGAAGGGTCCAATTCCGTATTTCACTTCTTAGGTATGATGATAGATAGAAAGGAGGATGGCATGTTGAAAGGGTCGATTTACCGAAAACCAACATTTACAGGGCAGTGCACTAACTTCAGCCATTGGGCACCTCTAGGCAGAAAGAGGAATCTTATCCGTTCTGTATGCTCTAGAATCCGGTGAATTTTCTCTAGAGATACGGTCGACATAGAACTGGAAAACCTTCGCTCAACACTCTTAAATAATTAATATCCTAGAAGGTTTATTGACAGAAACATCAAGAAAGAAAACGTCCGTAGACAGATAACAGTGCCAAAGTTGACATCGTTTAGACACATCGCACTTTTACCTGTTTAGACAACACTTTGACCCACAATTTTTTTTGTATTTCCCAATGAATGAAAAACAAAACGATATTGCTGTTTCTACTGACGTTTCGCTATTTAATGCTAATAGCTTTATCAAAGTAGTATTATTAAACCAAAATTGACAAAATCTCAGCATACATATAACAAAGAGTTAACAGGCGAGAAAACAGACAAGTTAGGTCAACTTAAAAGGAGGACATATTGAAAGTCAAAATAACAATGAAGATCACTAAACCAAATATCAAAGGTAATAGTACACCTACGATGGTATCAAAACAAAGTCTACTAACTTGATCATCGTTCGTCAGTCTGGGGTCATTTTTGCGTTGTCAAGTTGACCAATCGGTAAAGATAACAAAACCAGGTGTAGATTGTTGGATTTGATAAGTGTGTGAAATTATAAAAACAGCATGTGTGTGAAATTGCTTATCACATTCGTGTTGATTTTGTCATTTCATCTAAGGTAGTTGGGTGGGTGTTGTAACCAGGTCAAATTCTGTTTTAGTCCATCATTCCTATTCAGACAGTTTGGATTCCATTTGATATGAAGTGCTTCCGATGATATTAGACGCTCTTTGAGATTTCTGAAATGCTTTTTCTGGATGATGATTTCAATATTGTCAAAATCAATTTTGGGACCTGATTCTATAGCATGTAGACCTATTGCTGATGATTTTTCAGGTTTTTCTAGTTCATTTGGATTTCTCAGTGGTCGAACAGATGCTCTACGGTGTTCATTTCTTCTGACTTTGATTTCTCGAGAAGTTTGTCCGATGTATATTGCATCACATTCCAAGCATTTTATTTTATAGACACAATTAGATAGAGATATAGAATCAGGCCACAAAATTGATTTTGACAATATTGAAATCATCATCCAGAAAAAGCATTTCAGAAATCACAAAGAACGTTTAATATCAATGAGAAGCACTTCATATCAAATGGAATCCAAACTGTCTGAATAGGAATGATGGACTAAAACAGAATTTGACCTGGTTACAACACCCACCCAACTACCTTAGATGAAATGACAAAATCAACACGAATGTGATAAGCAATTTCACACACATGCTGTTTTTATAATTTCACACAATTATCAAATCCAACAATCTACACCTGGTTTTGTTATCTTTACCGATTGGTCAACTTGACAACGCAAAAATGACACCATGCTGAGGAACGATGATTAAGTTGTTATATGTATAAGCTGAGTGGATTTTGTCAATTTTGGTTTAATAATACTACTTTGATAAAGCTATCAGCAGCAGCATTAATTAGCGAAACGTCAGTAAAAACAGGAATATCGTTTTGTTTTTCATTCATTCATTGGGAAATACAAAAAACCTTTATTATAATGAATATCATATACCCAATGCCCAAATTTTTTTCAAACTGTTAAAAGTGAACTTGGTTTGGACAAATGTAACCTGTTCACCTACTTAATAATCTTTAAAAGTTTTGTAATTCATCTGTTTCAACTCTACCCACATAGTACATCATTTTAATTATCTTTATTCTTATCATATATACACTATTGACTGAGTCATTTCTATTGCCACTTAATGCCTTTTTCCATAATATAAATACGACTGTACAATTTGAAAATGTTGTTGAAAAAAATATGTATGGAGGATTTCATCATTAGCTGACATCAGTTAGAGAACCACCCAAACTAGGACGAAACAGCTGTCGAGTACTCCCTGCAGGTTTTCCAGTGGTTCTCTAACTGATGTCAGCTCATGATGAAATCCTCCATACAATCAAACAAAATCCCTACCAAACCAATACTTGAAAAAAAAATATGTATTTCTTTGCTGAATAAAACTGTGTTTCCAGCATAGTTTAGCAGCGCAGTAAATTATAACTCAATGTGAATTAAGTTCACTAGGTCAGACTGTCAAAATATACTGCGTTTAGCAACTGACAAATGGATAATTGAAAATAAAAATCGACACATGTGATCTGCTTTCATGTTTTCAACTAGTTGGCGGAATCACTGCCTATAAAGTGACTAGATAAAATGGTAGAAATAAAATTAATAGATAATACGATTCAACAATTTAACAATTTGCAAATTTCCACCTAGTCAGACAGATAAAGGCCGTTGATCGGCTATGACAGTGGTTGACGATTGCATTAAATATATATATCACGAATTGGAAGAAGTTGGAGTTCATGTATCATTGAGTCGTGTCCCAGTAGCTAAGTGGACTACTATCTCGACGTGTGGCCGGAAGGTCCTGGGTTCAAACTCCTGTGGTGGTTGTGTACTGATGAGGAGTCCCAAACTATTGGGACGAAACAGTTGTTCAGTACTCCATGCAGGTTTCCAACGGTTCTCTAATTGATGTTAGCTCGTAGTCAACCCTGTAAACATTCATTCAGAAGGGGGAACAACATCCAAATTCTTAACACTTACTTCAAGTCAGTTAGTGGTTCCTCTAAATGCTTCAGAGAGTTGGTTCAAGCATTACGAAGAGAAGACTTCCATGAACAACAACCTTCATTCTATACTGCAGGTCAGAAAGGTCTTCCTCGACGGGCAATGTTAGCTGATATAGCGTCTGGTTGTAAAAGAGCTAACGGTGGTCAAACCAAAATATGGCACCAGTCAATCAAATCTACAACAGGTAGTCTAAGCCATGTAGGAAACTGTAGACTTCCTGACTGGTTAGGGTCCTCGGGACGGTAAAAACCAATGGTTGGAAACAATTGGTGACATGGCTCAAAATCGTGCTCGCTGATGGCTAGCGCAGATGCATCCACTCCTTGTGACTTATGATTTCCAATGAAACTGTTTTGTTCTTCGTTATTACTATACCTTTGTCTCACATCTCTGTTTACTGTCTATATTATGCATTTCTCCTACTTTCTTCTCTTGCTTTGTGTGCTACAAGAAGGGAGTGTGGCGACTTGAACTGCTGCACATATGTGCAAAGTTCTATGTCGAAAACAGACGGACAGACAGGTCAGAAAGGATGAGCAACAAGAGACTCAGGCAAGTGGTGAACTATCCATCAGCCTATTCCTCATCTAGAAAAAAAATATGAGGAAGGGAGTGAGAGGGATTTGATAATAGCTGAAGGGACTGTCGAGTTATCTCACATATCAGGTGCTTTATTGGAACCCAAGTTGGAGGCGACTGGTCGTGGCTCCGACGACGATATGGAAAGGATCATATGAAGAGGAATTGGAAGCTTGAAGGTAATTGCAGAGCCATGTGAATGGGATTCGAAGAACTGTATGGATGGGGATGTGCCGCTGAAGCCTTACTATTTTCCAATCAGAGTGGGAAGAATAGATGAAGTCATGACCAGTTGGGTGCAGCAGGTCTGGTATGAGGACAAATAGTCGCCAAAGACATTGGCTAGCGGTTGAGCTATATCGTGAATTGGCAGAAGTTTGAATTCATGGACTGGCCATTGGATCGTGTCCCAATGGCTGAATGATCTACGATCTAGCTCGCCTTGTAACCAGAAGGTCCTGGATTCGAATCCCGGTGGGTGCTTACTGCGAAGAGACCCAAACTAGGATGAAACAGCTGTCCAATACTCCCAGGTTTTCCAATGGTTCTCTAGCTGATGTCAGCTCATGATGAAATCCTATAACCAATCAACCAAATCCCTACAAACCAATACTTGAATAATAATAATAATAACAGAAATAATAATAATAATTCTAGTAAAACACGAAACGAAAACTATCATAGACTAATTAAACTCACTGTGAAGTAGATGTCAGTAAATCCGGGGAATCAGTAAACTCTGACATAGTTGACTGTTGTTCACTTGTTTCTGCAGTTTCATCAGTAGTTTCAAGAAAACGTTTACGTTCAACAGAAGTCAATGTTTCAGACTTTTTCTTTATTCTTATCTGTTGATTCCTTCTTTTATTCTTCTTCTTCTTTGTAACATGCAGTTTTGTTTTAGAAGAGTGTGAATTTCGTCTTGGCGACTAAAAGATACACAAGGGCAATTATTAATCGTAGTAAATTTGCCGAACGATAGCAGTCGAACGATTTAAACCAGACTTATGCATACAGAAAGAGAGTGTGATTAACCTCTCACTCCCTTGGTAACTGAATTTTGATTTTGATTACATTAATTAGTCATCTAATTCAGTGATCTCAACTCACTGAACAAATTTTAATCTCATAAACTGTAACCGCCTTTGATTTTTGGAGTTGCTATGTGAACCTACAAGCTAACACTGTTTCTGTTAATCAGTTTTTTTCTGTTTTCTGTCTTACCCCTCCCCCCTCTTTTCAACTTTGAAAGCGTATAAATTGATGATGAAAACTTAAACTAAAAATTGTAATGCTTTCATTTTGGATGCGTCCCTTTTATAATATCTCTTCTTTACTACCACTCAAACATTAAAGTATGTCATTATCATCTATATAACCATTGTAATTTCAAGTAGTCTGCAGCTGACGACAACCTGTGAAATAGAATGACGACATCATTTTATACTGCAAATTTCGTCTTCCTTTCTTCATCGAAATTTATCAAGGGAACCAAATGTATGAATGGAATTCAACTAAAATCCAACGAGAGTCAAGTTAATAGTAGTGGTAATAAGGGTTAGAAATTTAGTGGGGGTCGGGATGAAGGAAGAAACGAGAAATTACGTACCCAGTGTTAAGATAGATGAGGTCCATTATAGATTTAATCACTGAACAAACTTCTTTTGTAAGCAGAGTTCAGGATTTAACATGTGAATTTGTTTTATGACGACTCATCACCTTTGTTACTATCCTTTTTCATGGAAAAGAGATTGCACAGCTAAAGTGGAAAATCAATTCGCTGTCGAAAAGAGTCTCTTCACTGAACTATTTGTCTTGTTTTCATTAGTGATTTAGGGATGGGAACATTTCATGAATTAAAACAAATTGTACTCGAAACGTCATACAGGAGGCTATTAGTACTACATCGCTCTGTATCACAGCACAAAACAAATGTCGGATTATATTCTATGACAGTACTCAATTTCTCTTCCTACATATAAACTGGTTTATTGACGCAGCGATACAGCTGGGTATTAGACAATTCTTCTGGAAATAATTTTATTGTTAGCAAGTTGAATGAAGGGATTTGAAAGAGGTTACTTCAGTCACTCATCTAGGGAGGGAGCATTGTCTCAACTGCAGGAGGAACAGACAAGGATGTCAAATCGAGAATCGGGAAGGTGAGAAACACATTCATCAACCTGAAACCAATCTGGAAATCTTCGTCACTCAACTCAGCATCAACAACAAAATGATACGGATTTTCAATACAAACGTCAAGTCAGTCAGTTCTTCTATACGGATCAGAAACTTGGCCAGTGTGTCACAAAGAATATTTCCAACAGCCTGTTGCAGACCTTTATCAACAACTGTCTTCGCTCTATATACTGAAGATCAGATGGCCGGAAAGAATCACCAACAAGAAACAAACTATGGGAACAAACAAAACAAGAACCAATCACTGAGGAGGCCGCTGGATGACATCGCGCGTCAGGCCAATGCTCGAGTGGAACCCAAAAGGGAATCGGCGAGTGGGACGTCCAAGGGTGACATGGAGGAGATCGTGTGAAGAAGAGTTGAAACAGAATGGACTAACATGGATGCAGGTGAAAAGTACAGCAGAAGACAGAAACAAGTGGAAACGTGCAGTTGAAGCCCTATGTTCCACTAGGAACCCAAGAGAACAATCATAATAATAATGATAATAATAATAATAAGTTGAATGAAGGGCTTCTACTCACACCATGGATCTGTGCTTTTTCTTAGATTTTAAGATATCAGTTAGATACCCATGGCATAACAAAGATTACAGGATTATTAGAAAACCTGGGAGTACTGGACAGCCAGCTGTTTCGTCAGTCTAGTTTGGGACTCTTCATCAGTACGCACTCACTACAGGGATTCGAACCCAGGATATTCCGGTTACAGGGCGAGCTTGTACACCATTCAGCCACTGGAACTCGATCCAATGGTTATTGAATTCCAACTCCTGCCAATTCACGATAAGACGCGACCACTAGCCAATTTCATCGGTAAGTATTACAATTCTTAGTTTAAGTTACCATCAACTTAGACACTTTCAAAATGGAATAGGAGGGGTGAGGGAGGAGAAGACAGAAAACAGCAAAAGACACCTAATAAACAAACAGTGTTAGCTTATAATTTCACATAGCAACTCAATAAGGTTATAGTTTATAAGATTGAACATCAGCTCAGGGGACTGACGTCATTAATACTGGATGACTACTAATCAGTCTAATCAAAATGCAGTTACCATGGCAATGAGAAATTGATTACACTCGCTTTCCGTATTATGCATATGCCTGGTTTGAAAGCATATAAATTAATGGTAACACTTAAATTTAAAAAAAATTGGAATGTTTACATTTCAGACGCGTTAATTTCTATAATAATTACTCTAGGGAATAAGAAGACAGTTGCAGCGAAGAAAATTTTCTTTTCGACGAAGTCATCATCTAGGCTGTACATTCGTGTATTTATATCAAATGGATGGGGAAGTTCCAGAACAATTTCTGGTTAGGGGTCAAATTAATAAAAATTACAATTAGGAATTAGAATGCCATAATAAACAGGGGGGATGGGTAAAACTCAAACAAAGTAGCATAATAACTGAGAAGATTGACATTGTGCAATTGGGGGTTAGAAATGTAAAAATAACAAAATATACAGGATGTTTGGATAAGAAACTAGTGTGATGAATAATTGTTTATGCAATCAGGGATTAAATATGTAGAAATAGTAAAATGACAAAATAAACAGGAAGTGTGGATATGAATAATAATAATAATTGCTTTATGGTAGTGTAGACAGAGATTAAGGAAACTTAAAATAACATGAATAAACAGGAAGTTTAGATAAGAAAGGTGATGAGATTGTCATTACTAAAAAATTTTACCTGTTTATGATGGCCATGGTAGGGACAGGGATTGGACGTATTTCTTTTGGATACAAAGAGTGGGTTTGAGTTTTTGGATAGCTAACGCCTCAGCTATGCCCAAGTGTCTTGATTTCACTCCCTTTGATAGGTTTGATTGAATCTTGTATATTGCTTTGAATGATTTTTCGAAAGGCGCTGAATGTCCTGAGTTGACCAGATGTTATGTCACTGAACTGTGTACGCGTTTTTGGTCTCCTTTTATTAGCCAGGCTGGGTAGTGTTCACGAGCGCGTTTTCCAAGTCGGCGCATGGTACGGCCGATGTACTCAGCTCCACAAGAGCAAGTAAACTAGTATATGCACGTTGAGGTGGCCCAATGCGACAGCTTGTCTTACTCTATTACCATTTAAATATTGAAGTATGTTTATAGGTTTCCAGATCGTAGATGTTACGAATTTCCTGGAATAATTTGAGCACCGAGTCAGATTATATTATTATTTTAGTCTTTTACGTTTCCAGTGGAATATAGAGCTTTGAATTTTCGGTAGCAGTGGTATTTATTTTCACGGGATGGGGTTGCTAGCCTCATATGCCCAACCTTTCCTCTTTACCAGTCTTATTACTGGCTTATTGAGGTAAAGGAGTGCGTCGCTGGCCGGGGATCGAACCCTGAACCAAGGTTGCTTCTGAACGTTTCACTGTGTAAGCTGCCACAGCTTCTTCGACAGCAGCAGAATTATTCGGATTTTACCAACCATCAAAATGTATAGTCAAAATTTATATAAAGTGAAGTCAGTCAGCGGACATAGGGGCAATTTTGACAGTGTTGAAATTCTCGGAAGAGGATTTCATTCACCACATAAAGAAAGGTTGACCTATGAAGCCTTGAATATTTTAACCATATTGAATGCTGCAGTAAATAGGAGAGAAGCAACACACTTATCAGTTACACGGCAAACTCTAATGGAGCAAAACAGATGAGGGAGGAAAACAAATTCAATCGTATCATGTGACCAATATGAAATATTATCATGTTTTCACGTGTTTTCCATGTAACAAACAACATACAACCACACACACACACACTCATATGACAATTTGTCACAATTAGTAATAACAAATATATGATGACTGTTTACACATTTTTCTGTTGGTACAAATGTCTACTGACAAGTGAACTTCAAAGCGACTAACTTCAATTTATGTAACTTTTGACTGCATGGAGGATTTCATCAAGAGCTGACATCAGTTAGAGAACCACTGAAAAACCTGGGAGTACTGGACAGCTGTTTCGTCCTAGCTTTGGACTCATCATGAGTACGCACCCATCGAGATTCGAACCCAGGACTTTCTGGTTACAAGGCAAGCTCGTAGACCATTGAGCCACTGGGACCCGATCCCAGGTTTTCCAGTGGTTCTCTAACTGATGTCAGCTCTTGATGAAATCCTCCATGCAATCAAACAAAATCTCTACAAAACCAATACTTGAAAATTAATTTTTGACTATATATTTTGATTATTTAATTCAATTTTAGATTTTCTCGTCGATTAACTGGACCGAAGTGCTCGGTCTCAGGTGACGTATGAGCTTCTTGTGCAGGTGCTTAGACGATGTCTACGCAAGTTAATTGTTGGATGGTGACTGGCAATGGAATCCAGGATGCACATTTCGTCCTATTTGGGACTCGTCAGTTAGTAGATGTACCTGCATTCTGCAGTGAGTGATGATGTTCCCACCGAAGCTGGAACCCAGTGTTCATAGATTCAAACTAGAAGGAATATGGCTCATTTCGATAAAGAAAGACCATATCTGCATTATGAAATGATATTGTAACCGGGGAAGATACGAGACTTGGTATAGGACCTTTATTAAGGAAAAGCATTAAAGTTAGTCTAAGCCAGAGGAGGATAAATTGTTCCAATTGGTTGGCAGTTGGCTCAAGGTTAAACAAGTTCACAAAGTAAACTAAAACCAGACTTGAGGAATAAACACTCCTGACTCTTATGCAGTAGCCATTGTCTTAAAATGTTGATTTAGCCTTCGTCCAT